TTGTCATAACTTTGTTTGTGACACACAAATTCAAATACCCCGTTTACTTGGGGGCTTCCTTTATGAAGCTTTTCCTCTTGCATATGATTATACTTGTACGGCTTCGTTCCTTGTTCGTGTATTACGCCACAATATGCACCATATTGACTTAAGCGATTTGCAAGCTGGGTTGCCTCGCTCCTGTGTTTACCCCTATGTTCCCGATTGTTTGACTAGGGAGTAAAGGGAGCACCTCTGCGATTGTCATGATCGGGTCATCCGAGCCGGACCTAAGACTGGGTGAAGCCGAAAGCTAGCGCTCTTATTGTTTTCAATTATGGTCGGCACACAACGGAACTCATGAGTACAAAAAATCTATTGCACAAGTCTCATAGTAACAATGAGCACCGAAGAAAGGTATCGGTGGGGGTACTATTTTCTTCGAAGATTCTTCTTACACTTCGTCAGTAATATAGTATAAGTTCCCTGAACACGCTTTGTCCGTTACAGCCTTATGGCATGATTGCCTGGTTATCCAAAACACCGTCGATATTCTCGACAGGTGGAGTACATAACACTTTTCGGCCCTTGACCAAAGAGGGAGAAGCATATGGTCGGTTAAGACGCGTATAAAGTTCGGGTGAACACAGATATGATATAAGTACTTTGGTACATACAACCATTATACATAAAATTCTTTTACCCAAGTCACTTGAGGGCTCTTAAATTTATATGAGCCGTTTTTATAGTAAGTGTTCTTGTTCTTAGCCGTTGCAAAGTTATTATTATTATTATTATTATTATTATTATTATTATTATTATTATTATTATTATTATTATTATTATTATTATTATTATTTATCACTCCTTTTTTCCGACATGAGTGTGTGGTCATTAGCTGGGGAGCCTAATTTCCCTCTCAAAGCCGCCAGAGTTTAGTTTGCTAAACTGGCCTAAAGATAAGTACTCCGCCTTCGGGATAGGAGGTTGAAGCCGTAGGCTGACCCGCTTGAAGTCTTTAGATAGGATGTGTCATGTTAAACACGACAGAAGCATTTTTCTTCTTCTAAAGTCCAATTTTCAGATTGGCACCGAACACTTGATCTTGTTCGGACGTCAGGTTTTCACTGACATTTTTTGGTTTTCCAAGCCTATGGCACTTTTTAACTATTTGTGTGTTTCTAGCATAAGTCTCGCAGTGCAACGCCGGATATCTTTAGAGATTCGGCAAAAACATTCTCGGACACTACTATATATGCATCGGTTTTGAATTGTGTCTTAGGTCAATAGTTGGGTTGCCCGGCTCCTGTGCTTGCCTCCTACGTTCCGCTTTGTTCGGCTAGGTGTGCAAAGGGAGAACCACTGCGATTGTGCTTCCAGCTCTCATGGTTAAGCACCTCACTGGAGAAAGCCGAAAACCGACTGTCACAATAGGCGTAAACTGGTCAGCGATCTGATGACTATGTTAAAATGAGGGTCGTTCATAACATTGGCCGAAGTGTTTACGGCTTGACCTCGGATGTCGCTGAACACTAACCGGGGGCTCATAGCTAGCTTCCCCAGTTTAAAGCTCCTATGACTAAGCGAAAGTTCTAAACCCCGCATATCTGATTGCCTCGTTTCCGCTAACACAACCGCCTTCGGGCACCGAGACGTCGGCTAAGGATTGTTTTGTTATTGCGGAAACACCCTGCGTAGTATCTACCAAGGGGTAGAGGCCGACGATGGGCCACTTTCAACTGATAAACGGTCGCAATGGAGTCAAAATAATGATGTAAAGTACTTGGATACATAGAATCATTACACATAATTTGTGATTTTACTCTGGATATCGATCCTTAATTCGACCACCCGTGCCCACATTAAGGCTCGGGGGCTATTGGGCTTTGCGCTCATTATTTACAAATATTAAAGGGGCACATCGATCCCCTGATCTGGTGTTGCCACCCGACCAGTGTCTCGGGGGCTACTGCATTGCCTATTCAATGCAGAAAATTCAAAGGGCTCAGTGTTCGGCTTGATCGAACTATGGGAAAGCGTGTCTTTGGACAACAATAAGTACCATCTGGACCTATCTGGCATCAAGCTAATATATCACGGCGACTTCTCACAACCCTCTCTCAGGGGCCCGTTCGCCGATCACTATTATCTCTAATATATTACACTGCGTTTTTTATTCCTATGTATGCTGGCGAGCTAGGAGTTGATCCTCAAGCCGATTTCGCGCATCGACCTGAGTCTCAGGGGCTACTGGGAACAGCGGTTTTATGCTTTCCTTCAGGTGCATCTCGGGTTTTAGACTGATACACACCTTGAGGGCTACTGGATATACATCGGCAGAGAATAAACTGCACCAGTTAAAAGTATTCACAAAAAATCAGCCCGTGGTCGGGGTGGTGTACCACCTTGGAAGCAGTCCGGCATAAAGCTCGGGCGCTAGTGGCTAGCTCCATAGAGGGCATTCCCGGCATTAAGCTCGGCTAAACTCCTTCAACTTTTTTGGACCAAGATGATCTATGACATCTAGGATATAGTCCGGCATTGGAGCTTGGACACAGTCCGTCGTTGGAGCTCAGATACATTTCGGTGTTGGAGCTCGGAAGCAGTCCGACATTGGTGCTCGACTGCAAAAGATACCTCGAATGCAGTCCGGCGTTAGAGCTCGGACGCAAGAGGACACTACCTCCCAGGAACAACTTCAAACCCGAGGTGTGGCATAAAAATAACAAGACATTGATAAAGGCCGGAAACTTAAAGGGGCTCCTCGGATACCCGACGTGTAAACTCGTGGAATGCATTTCGGTGATCCTCAAGATCGAAGATGAGAAGATTTGTTGAACCAGTTTTCAAGACCGACAACCGAAGATGAAGAACAGTTCGGAAGAATCGAGGAGCGTCCCTAACTTGAAGACCGGTTCAGGGGGCTACTGACGGTGTCCTGGACTAGGGGGTACTCACCACGTCATCTCCCGATCTATTAGATTGGGCCGAGGACCCCCCATGGCCGTATACTCATGGGCCAGTTCGGACAGCTGCCGCATACATGGAAGATTCCACAAGACTTGGTGATCAAGGCAAGGACTCCTCCCCACCGGCGTATTCGTCTAGGACTCTTGTTATCCTAGGCCTCTGGTGCATTATATAAACCGAGGCCAGACTAGTCGATAGATCATATACAACAATCATACCAAAGGCTAGCTTCTAGGGTTTAGCCTCTACGATCTTGTGGTAGATCAACTCTTGTAATCCTCATATCATCAAGAACAATCAAGCAGGACGTAGGGTATTACCTCCATCAAGAGGGCCCAAACCTGGGTACACATCGTGTCCCCCGCCTCCTGTTACCATCGATCCTAGACGCACAGTTGGGACCCCCTACCCGAGATCCACCGGTTTTGACACCGACACCCGCCTTAACTATGCCACCTTTTATGGACTTACCGAATAAACTTATGTTTTCTTTGGTAAGCCAATAAATGATTACAAAATAAAATATTAAAATATGGATAGGTAAATTACGGGCAGGATTTTGTAAACATTTATTTACACAATCACATTATAATATCGACTGGTAAATCACTGACTAAATTTCTAGAATATTAATTTATACCCGTTGCAACGCACGGGCAATTACCTAGTATAAGAAAATATGAACATCCACAACACCAAATTATTTTCATTACTTCTATTTTTTTCCATGACCTTCATCATAAAATATATTATTTGATGTAGTTTATATTAGCATATTTGTCTATAAACTTGGTCAAGCTTAGAGGTTTGACACTTAACTAGGACAAAACTGTAGCTTCAATTAATTGGAGATGAGGGAGAGTATTATATAACTTTTGCAAAAAAAAATTGTTATGTAACCAATGATCAAGAAGGTATATATAACCCCACAACATTCTCCAAGAAAGCATGGAACTTATTTCTGAAATATGGCTATCACGGTTCCAAAGAACGGCCAACTATATGCACAACAAAGGAATACACACACACACACACACACACACACACACACAGAGAGAGAGAGATAGAGAGAGGAATATACTTTGTGGCTGTGGGGATAGTAGCTAGGATATAGCTCCAGAAGAATATGCAAGATGGGCATAAACATCTGAAATGGTCCTCTTTTGCATGCCATAGCTAGTTCAGCAAGAATCAGGTACTAGTTCTGATGTTCATCGTATCCGCAAATGGTCCAATTTAAGTACCACTCTATAACAAGTAAATTTTGGGGTTTAATCACTGACAATTAAAGTTTATTTCAAAAGACTGTATATAGTTATCTATATCAGTGTGTCCATAACAGAAAGCAGAAAATGCCTAACAAATGTGCCTTGTATTTAGTTAAAAAAGGTAGTATTAGCTCCTTTCCCAAAATGAGTGATATTTTAGAAATAGTGGAGCACTATCTTTGACAAATAATTAGTAACTATTATTGCTTGTTTTGGTGCAACTAGTAACCTTATTTCTCAATGAAAAATCGTTCCAAATATTTTTTTATAAGTTTCTTACTTACTTGCATATTCTTAAAAGTATTAAGATCAAAGGATAGGTACCCGCAAAAAAAAAAATCAAAGGATAGATACATAATAAAAAACGTAGTCTTTTGAAAAGGCCGGAAGAGGTACTATATATACCGTATAACTACCATGCATGTTATGCAAACCAATTACCTGTAAGTCTGTAACCCATGCATGATATACAGCCAAGAACAATTGCGATGAAAAAATATTATAAGGTAGCAGCTGTTCATAATTAAAGGGTGCGTACGTACGCTCCAACAACAAATATAACAGACAACACCATCAACTTAACGACACAGCAACAGCAGCAACGAAGTAACCAAACATAAATTAAACGCGTGCGCTTATGCATTATATATATGCATAGCGACGGATGATGATGATGAGCTAGCTGATAAGTAACCGATGCATGCGGTAGCAGTACTAATTAATCCCAGCATGCTTGTGATGCCTTAGGCGCTGCGCTCCATCTGCTTGAAGATGTCGAAGCTCTCAACGACTTGCTCGGTGGCCCTCTCCTGCAGCTACGTCCCCATGTATATTACATGCAGACAGACATTCAGTATCCAGCATATTTCTGAACTAAATATTAGCACACATATATTTAACTGGTGAATATTACCTGAGGACCGGGCACTACTATTCTGGGCTCTGGGGCGCTGTTGGAAGCAGAGACAGTCGTTGAGCAGCGAGGGTCGCACTTCGCCCACTGCATATGTACATAATCGGGTGTGATCAATGGGATTGTTTCAGAGATTTCA